CCCCCCCCCCCCCCCCACGGGAGCGTAGCTACTCGGCACCTTTTAGTTTTTTTTCCGGTGCTTGGACGCCCTCCGAACTAAACACGCAACGTCCGAGAAACCGGAGTTTTTGTGCATATTTGTTCTTTGTAGCTTTGGGAGGTCTGCCCTTGTTTTCCTCGGGCACCCGCCCATGCCCATTCCCGTCCTCTCACTTCAAGCGAAACCAAGCCAAACCCCTCCCGATGTACCTTCGATGACTCTCGCGTTCGTTTCTGCTGCCCTCGACTGAAAGGGACGCTGTACATGATGGGAGGAGGCAAGCTTGGACAGCTGGGGTTGGGCCGAGCGGTAGAGTCCTGCACGGAGCCGAAGGCGGTGGAAGTGCCAGGCGGGACTGTTGAGAAGGTGCGGTGGAATTACTGAGCTTAGGGCAGAAAGGAGGGCGGATGATTAATTTTTGGGGGTTTCCGTGTGGCATGTTCCTGTGTGACCCCGGCTGGAGCGCCAAAAAGACACCGAAAGGTGTTGAAAATGAGCTTCGGCATACAGTGGTGGGACCTGTATAGTGTTCATGTGTGTCCAGAGATTTTACCCGTGCTATGCTGGACACCGACACTATCAGAATACAGCAGCGACTTGGGCTTTCAGTGTGTGCGAGACGAAAATACCGGCACAATTCCGGCACCGGGCACTATCCGACCGGCACTATGGGTTAGGACCACCACTGCTGATGCGATGGACAACACATACGTGACACGACAATACCGAGCCTCCCGCACCCAAGGCGTCACGACATCAGTGTCTTTCGTCTTCCTCGTCCGCTCGGTTCGACGGATTTGACGCCGAACTCTAAATATCGCTTCAACCAGCGTACAGCAGTGTTTTTTGGATATTTCCGCCCGCAGCCATTAGCACGCCCCCGTTTTGGGAGCCAATTACTTCTGTGGTCGTACAGAGTCGTCTAGAGTTTTTGTTTGTAGCCCTCCGCCGTCCTTCCGTGTACTATATTAGTTGTGCTACGTCGATACATGCTCATGGACCATGCAACATGCAGCGCGTTCGCGGCCGCGGTCGGTCTTGATTGAGACTCTTTCAAGAGTCTGGTGGTAAGTGTGCGATGCACGCTAGATAAATGGTGGCTGTCCACACCCACCTGCTCTCTCCTGCGAGGCCTTCGTATCGTACGAACCCGTAGGGCACTACTGATAGGCGCTTTACCATTGCTGTGATTCAGTTCTGTACCTGGTATGTAGAACGGGGAGTGCCTACCGTCTGTTTCGCGGGACAGCCGGTTGTCACAGCAGTCAGTGCTACGCACGTGATCACAGCGCACACCGGCTGGTTTCGTGTTTTCATCTTACGGTGATGGTGCTGTTGTGTACCTCGCGCATGTGAAGCAGATGAACACCTCCCGATCCTGCAAGAAATACAAACGAGATTTCATAAGAACACACCTGTGCTACAAGTAACAGTAGTGGCACCCGCCTCTTCCGATGCCCGATTCCCACACACACCCCGCCCCCCCCTCTCGAGGACACGTGGTCAATGGTCAAACCGCGAACTGGCATGCAACATAGCCACGAAGGCATGCAAAACATCAGTACGCCGGTTCACAGTCCCCGTCCTCTCGTTTCCGGCAAAACGCCTCCTGATCCTCCTGTCGTCAGGTGGCGTGCGGCGCGGAGTTCACGGCGATAATCGACAACCGAGGGCGGCTGTTGACGTTCGGGTCGCCGCAGGACGGGCAGCTTGGGGGCGGGACGACGGGGGAGTTCATCGAGAAGGCCGGGAAGATATCTTACGATCTGGTGCTGGCTCCGGCTGTGGTCTCCACGTTCTTTTCTAAGGTGGGTGGAACGTAGACTCTTGTTGTTGTTGTTGTTGTTGTTGCTGCTGGACGTGATGGTGGTGACGTGGTGCGGATGTTGTTGTAGTTGTAGTTGTAGTTGTAGTTGTAGTTATTGTTGTTTAGTAGTTGGTTGCTGTTCTGCTGCTGTTCTTTGCCGTGGTGATGGGGTGGTGCGGATGTTGTCGTCGTCGGTGCTGTTGTTGTCCTTGGACGTGATGGTGATGACATGGAATGTTAAATGTTGTCGTTGTAGTTGATGGGCGGGTGAGGTTCATCGACCTAGCTTCCTCCGTGCCTGCGCAACAACAAAAGGGATGGGTATGAACCATGAACCATATGCACGTTGTGTGTTCCGAGTGTGAGGAAAGACTCTTGCGCACGCAAGGTGTACATATTCACCTTGACTTCGTCGTCTTGACATTTAGAAGCTGCTGTGGTTATTTACTTTTGGTACGTAAGAGAGAGGAAGACGCGCTGGTCGTCATCACAACTACATGTTTGCTTTCCCTACTTCACACCAATCACATCGCCATGTCTCGGCACTGCTTTCGACGCTAACCTTCTTTCCCCCGTGCTAAATATACCGCCGTGTCTTGCTCTGCTTTCCTCCGCTTGCCTTGTTTTCTCCGTACTGCGGCAAAAAAAAAAACAATCCAAAAAAACGCCTGCGTGCGGGGAAAAGGACGCTCGCACAAAAGCTATAGAGGAGTTTCGCGGAGTGGAGCTGGCGGACATCGCCTGCGGGAAGAGCCACGGGGTTGCCGTGGAGAAGGGGCCGCGGGCACGTGTCTTCACGTGGGGCTTTGGAGGGTGAGCGAAGAAGCTATTAGGTAGTGACGCACGGAGTGGTGTGGTTGCGAAGGGAGCCGTGTGTGTGCATGGAGTTTGTTCGCGAAGTGGAGCCAAGGGGGGGGAGGGGGGGGTGTACTCATAGTCGTGCATGCCGTAGTCGTTAGACCATTGACCTCGCATCCCTACAAAGCCGGGACGGAGCACGCCGGGTTCTCACCGGACCAGGCTCTCACATCACCAAGCGCGAAGCGCCGTGAGATATTCGGCGAGTCGCATGAAGGGTGCGCTGCATCCTGTTAAGGGTTTTCGGCATCTTGTGCTTACTTCCTTGCGTACGGATGACAGCTGTGGATGGCTTAATTTATTTTCTGGTGCTTTCACTTCGAGAGACAGTTGTAAGCACTGTGTAGCTGCCTCGAGGGTGCTTGACCATTTTAACACAACGTGGTGCGATCATCCCCCTTGCGCGGAGCGAGTGTTTTCCACCCCGCACAACATGATCTACTCGACCACCATTATGGTTACCGCCAAAAAAAAAAAACGGAGGTAAAAAAAAAAACCGGTAACCTGGTTGCCGAGTTCACGAAGTGAATTGGCTTGTTTTACAACGTCGTTGCCAAGCGACGAAAACCCAACCCCGATGGCAAACACCGGGGGGGGACCAGTGAAGCGAAGGGGGGGCGGTTTGGTGAGTACGCTTATGACAGTCGGAAGCAGATGATGATTGCATCGAGGGTGGTGTGGCGTGGCGACGTGAAGAGGATGGAGGCTGGAAGCCGGTGGTGCCCTCGCGAGGCAGTAGTGGTTACAACGATGATTCCTGAGCGCGCACGGCGAGATATCCTGGCCGATTGTTGAAATCTCGCTCTAAATCCCATTTGATAAATCTCCTGTCTTCAACCCCCTGCCCAACCGACCCCTTCCTACCCCCCGTCTCCCTCGCACAACACTGCTGCGTTCTCCTATTATCTACACCTCCGCTTGTCACGACGGATAAAAACGGTCGCCGCCGTGGATGAAGGTACGGGAGGCTCGGGCACGCCTGCCAGGACCAAGAGCTCCGGCCCCGGATGGTGGACGTCCTTGCCCGCATGACCCACCTCAAGGTCACCAAGGTGGCCGCCGGCGCCGGGTGCTCGCTGGCGATCACCGAGAACGGCCACCTGTTCTACTGGGGGAAGCTGCCCAACGCGCCCCGGGGAGAAGCGACCATGTGAGAGAAAAAAAAAACTAGAGTCTTGAATTGAACATTTTCACCGAAGCTAGATGTGTGGAGACTGGCGCCAAAACAGATAGGACGAACACACGTAGTACCACACTGTTCGGAAAATATAGGGATCATTCGGATACTAAATAATGTGATTTTCCCAATGGTCCCAATTTTTCCAAACAGGGTGGTAGAAAGTTAGCATCGTTCTTGTTGTTCACTCTTTGTGGAGATGCCCTTCGTACAGGGTACAGTAGTCTCCCCACAGAAAAGTCTGTCGATGACGATTCCCTCTTTTCACATTGTCGTAGCGATGAGGTGTCTGCTTTTGGTGGGAGAACCTCAAATAATGTGCATGTGTACCTTTTTTTTTTTCTGGCCGCGGTGTTGTCTGGGTGTCAGTTCAGGACGCGGCTTGGTTTGGAGGTAATCTGGCGTGTCAGATGATGCTGTTTTTTTTCCGTTACCGTCACTTTACCATTCTAACCGCTGTGTTGTGTTGTCGTCGGTTCAGGACGCGGCGTGATTTGGAGTTTTTGTCTTGACGTGTTATTTGGTTCCGTACCGTCGATATTGACCAACCCCCGGCCACGCCGTTGACCTCCGTGCGCTCGACAAAAAAGGTACCCCAAGATCGTAGAAGACCTGTCGAACTGGCAGACGCGGTCGGTGGCCGGCAGCAACGGGGCTCTCCTGGTAGCGGCGGAGACGAGCACGATCTCTTGGGGGACGAGCGTGGCGGGAGAGCTCGGGTGAGAGCGGTCCTCTTCTTTTCTCGTGTGTGTTGGCTCGCTCGCTCTATCTGCGAATTAGCGCTCTTGCGTACCCTCGTCCTCATGTCTTGTTTTGGGGCCGCTGCTATAGGCTTTATCCAAGGTACGTCTTCTTTGGTGGCCTCCAAAACAGACGAGGGGGTGCGGGGTGTTTGGCCTGAAAGTTTTTTGGTGAGAAGATGACAGAGTTGGGGTTGTTCCTCGGTTGCGCATGTGGCGAACCATTATCATCCATGATCACCGTTGTGTGGATTCTCGATGTTAACGTACGCAAAATGTCGGTTTTGCGTGTGCGGGATGGGTTGCGCGCTGTCTGCCACAGATACGGAGAGGACATCGGCACGCCTCGCACGTCGACGAAGCCCAAGCTGGTGAACGCGCTGGAGGGGCTTACGGTGATGCAGGTCGCCATGGGTCTCGGCCACAGCCTTCTTCTCGCAGAGTGAGTTTTGAGGCTTTACAAGGGCTGTTGTTGTCGTTGCCTTCATTTTTAGCAGAAGACATGTTGTGGATGCATAGGATCCTTGCTACTCTTTCCCCCCCCCCTGCTCTCCCACAGACGCAACTTTCCACCACATGCGCCCACCAACCCAATCGAAGACGCGACGGAAAAACTATTGTTGTTGTTTGTTGTTTCTCACATTAGCTCCACAGTCCACAAAAAATGGGGAGCCCGTGGTCTCAAAACTCGGCACATACGACGCCGGGGGGAAACAAAACAAAAATAGGGTACAAACCACTCGGAAAATGAAAACAGAATGATACGAAGAAAAGAACAGGTACCGCACCGACCGTCCGAGAAAAGAGCCCTCGGAATTCGATCAAAATAAAAACAAAAACTAAAATAGCGGAGGACGCTTCCCACACCCGCCGAAAGAAAAAATCAAAGGTAACGTACCAGCACCAGGCACTACGCAGCAGGGCATGGGAGTAACGGAGCAAACAGGACAAGGAGGCGGCAGATGGGCACTATGTAACCGGAGCGTCGACTAAGAATTAACCCCACCCGGACCTGTGCCTTGACTCTTGACGGACCAACCAGAGAGAACGAGAAGTCGCAGGCGATCTTGAAGGGGCTAGGGGAATGCGTCCCCTTCGAGGGCGACGGCGGCGGCGGCGGTGCGGAGGAGGAGGAGGAGGAAGAGGAAGAGGGACCGCCGGCCAAGAAAAGGAGGGGGAGGCCTGCGGGGAGCAGTAAAAAGGGCGGCAAGGGGAGCTCCAAGAAGGGGGCGGCGGGTGCCAAGGGCAAGGGGAGGGCGAAGCGGTGATGATTGTTTTTTGTCTAAGTTTCCATTGCGTAGCAAGTAGACGGCGTGCGGCGACGCGAGTCACAGGTGCTTGTATCGACGGGCGAATTGTCACCGATGCTTATGAACTTGGTGTTAAAAGTGCGGGGAGACTCTACCCTTGCTTGTATCGAGTGAACTGCGCTCGCACCAACAGTAGGTGGAACTTACGTCCTTGTTGGGGATATTGTAAAATGCTTGCATCCTTGTTTGTGCCCTGGTTGCGTGTGCCCCTCCCTCTCCACGACGCGCTGTAGAAGCACGCCATGGAAATAGTCAGCCTTAGCGCAGCTGGAGAATGGCGGTTGAAAAACACCGGACCGCCCAGACGAATGTCCGTACAAGCATTTGCGCAGAAGATATGCATACCATGAACAAGATCGGGTTCAGGACTGATGTCGAACGGCAGACAAGCCTTGACTGGTTGCAGCTTGTGCTGGGGGCTAAGGTCGTTCTCGGAGTCGCTATGGTCTGTCTCAGGACCCTGGCTCGATCGGGGCAGGAGAAACTGAAGGATGTTTTTTCGTGTTTCGGTGGTGACACGATACCCTCCTCCGAAATAGTCGGTAAACCTATTAGACTACTGTCGCATTGCATTCGGGTGTGGGTGGGCGGGCAGTTTGGTGCTTCACCGCGAATGCACGCGCTGTTGTGCGTCAATTGCGGGCCACTCTGTGAATGGCGAAGTTGGTGCGTCAACGGTCGCGTGTGTTTGGCGACCTCCCGGCTGCTTGATTTTGACGCAAGTACGCACGGAGGATGGCGGCCGACTTGTTTGTGCAAAAGAAAGTGACCCCCGTTTCGGTATCTGTTGCTCTTCAGAGCATGTTTAGTTTCATGACAACCGCTTGATTCCCGAGACCGTCACAGCAATAGAGCTTGGGTCTCTCTCGGCTTTGTGTCTGGCTGTCTGTCATTGATTCAGTAGTGGTACGTGAACATGTCAATCCACACAACTCAGCACAAGTTCAAATAAGAAACTACTTCGAAAGATTGTACTATCCACGCATATACGGGATGACTACACTTGCCGGTGTGCCGAAAGTGTTTTCGTGTGTAGTCGGGTGGCAACAAGAGGTGGCCTTCAAAAGGGCCTCATAAGTTCCCCAGCGTCCGTCGAGGACGATTCCCACTTGTATCAACGGCGTAGACGAAGATAGGTGTCTCATTTTGGTGCAAGAAAAACAGAGATAGTTGGAATCCCGCGACGCACCCCAAGAAACGATGGAACTATCACACAAAAATGGTTGACCAAAAGAACACATCTTTTTTTCGAACTTGCGGAAATTCTGGTGACGTGGCCGTTCGTGGTGCACCAAGTGAACCGACTCGCCGCCAGCCCGAGTTATACCCCTAGAAACCTTCTTGCCGCTCACTGGCAAACAAGAAGTAGGCTCATAAAAGGGGGGGGGGTGTACTCATAGTCGTGCATGCCCTAGTCGTTAGAACATTGACCTCGCATCCCTACAAAGCCGGGACGGAGCACGCCGGGTTCTCACCGGACCAGGCTCTCACATCACCAAGCGCGAAGCGCCGTGAGATATTCGGCGAGTCGCATGAAGGGTGCGCTGCATCCTGCTAAGGGTTTTCGGCATCTTGTGCTTACTTCCTTGCGTACGGATGACAGCTGTGGATGGCTTAATTTATTTTCTGGTGCTTTCACTTCCTGAGACAGTTGTAAGCACTGTGTAACTGCCTCGAGGGTGCTTTGACCATTTTAACACAACGTGGTGCGATCACCCCCCTTGCGCGGAGTGAGGACTCTCGACCCCTCACATGATCTACTCGACCACCATTGTGGTCACCGCCAAAAACAAACAGAGGTAAAAAACAAGAACGGTTACCTGGTTGCCGAGTTCACGAAGTGAATTGGCTTGTTTTACAAC